TTTTTTTTTTGGTTGACTTCTTAAGGAAAAAAAAAGAAAAAAACGTTGAGAACGATCCGAAACGAACTCGGAACGACCTGGCACAAAACTGAACGGGAATTCTGTGAGGAGCGAGGACAATGAGTCCAGGCAGGCTGACAGCTTGGTGCGCCTGCTCCGTTTCCACCACCACCTCTCGTTTTGTACCACTCCTATCCCCCAAGAACCGCTCGGCATTTATTGTGGACTAATCATGGCCGACGAACGACAGCGAATTAAAAATAAACAACAAACCGTCAATCTAAATAAATAAATAGATAACAAAACAACGCGCAGAAAAAAAAAACGAGATTGAAAATCGTTTTTTTTTGTTGTTGTTGTTGTTTGATTGGGCGAAAAAGGGATCCACCTACTTTGGATCATGCACCAATCAGAAGAAAATGATCATTTGCAAATGATCGATTTTGACTGACAACATGACAATTGTTGGCTGGAATTGGTTGAGTTGGTGGAAGGAAGGTCGAACGCGAGGTCACCAGACTCGCACAGATGAAATTCGAAAACAATGAACGCGCATATACATATATATTTAGAAGTAACAAAAAGACGAGTAGGAAGAGAGTAAACAAAGAGATGAAACTTTTACTAAATCACGCCGTAAAGAGAAAAGGAGAATACTTATGATATAAAAAAAGAAGCAAAATAAAAGTTTGTTGAGAGGAAAAGTTAATGACACTGCATCGATGAACACAAAGGACAGACGACAAAACGGAATGAAAACAAAATATTTATATATCCCAGATTGTTTGAAATCGGATTAATTGTGTACTAATTTAGAATTGATTTCGCTTTATTAGTGAATCCGGACTAATCGAATCGAAAGTATTGCTGTATACAAATTCGGACAGGATAAAATGAAATATAGAGAGAGAACGAGAAAACATACAGAACTTGAGAACGGTTCCTTTTTTTTTTTGTTGGGGGAAAGCCTCTCTTTTGAATGCATTAAAAACCCTTAGGGTCGTTTAAACTCCGAATTCTCAGACTGCATAGCCAAAAATGCTAATCGTATTCTATGCAAAAGAAAAAAAAAATGATTGGCAAATAACCGAAGCCTCTTGTTGCCATCCTCCCATGCGTGAAAATTTGTATATGAAATGGAAATACGGGGAAAAACGTGGACAGGAAAAACGCACTTTTCCAATTCACAATTCAATCCGAAAGGTTACTATACAATTTCCACGACCTGTTTACAATTTACAATTCTAGTTGCCGGATGCTTTTTCGCGGAACCCCACGCTTCGCCGAAAATAAAACCTACTGCATTAATATCATTTCAAATTGAGCGTTGGAATTACGACCTAAAAATTGTTGCGTTTTTATAATCTGTACAAATTTTGCGTAAATCATCACAGATAAAACGCAATTTGCTTTTAATCATCCTGTACAAATAAAGCTAGACAACAAAAACATTGCAAATGTAATTCAATTCAAATAAATAAACTTAATTGTAAATTATTGTTACATTTATAATAAGTAAACAATTCTACTGGTTTCGATATGAATATTTAGTTTGAATTGATTTAGCAGACAACAAATGCGAGGAACTTGAAGAAAGGAGAAAAAAAAAATGATTTGTACAAAAAAACCAAGGCTCTAACATAAAATGATTACATCACATTCATATTTGCTTTTGTCAATGTTAAGTAGCGGTGACGCGGTTTCCTACTATCAGGTTTGTTTTATATTTTAAATGTAATACACTTTTAATAATTTATATTTATAAAAAAATCAGACGAAATAAGTTGCCCTTGTATTTTGTGCGCGTACGTAGAATACACGAAAAAAAAATAGAACGAGTGAAACGGAGTTTATCCTGAAACGTTTTTATTGGCACTCGAACCCTATCCTATCTGCCAGTCCATTTGCATGTAACAGTGACTATTGTTCCACAATTATATAAAAGCCAGATTACGTGAGAAAAATGATTCTTAAACATTTTTTTTTTAAATTATTATATAAACTGTTGAATTAGCAAATGAAACTCTTAGAATATTACTTCTGTATTTTATATTAGAAATGCGGATAAATAATTCAACGTTTTTCGATCAATATTTAAACCTGATTTCTGCTTATTCAATTTCGCTCGGTTACTATGAAATATGCAACAATGAAAACTGGTTTTTCTTTTCGATTCGTTTTGCGTTAATTGTACTTTTGCATGATGTATGGTGTAGAATAATTTCGAGTGTCCGTTGCAGGTGAACTCAAACACGTTTTGCGGACAAAAAAAAAATTGTTCATTGCCGTAAAACTTTACAAACAACAATTTATTTATAGAAAAAGTGCTAAAAATGGTTTTGTTGTAATTATATCAAAATGTTGTTGGAACATAGAAATGTTTAGAGTGGACAACACTTTCATAATTGCTTTTGAGAATGTCGTGTTGCAGAAAAAGTCTCTTCCGCTGTGACTCATCCTCCTTTCCGCTGTTTCGAATTTTAATTTCTATAACATGACACGTTTTTTTTCCTTCCTTATTTTGCATCAATTTCGACCTGTGCTTTTATTTTCTTAAAAAAAAAACAAATTTTAAATTCTTATCCAATTGTAGAACATTTTTCTCAAACATTTTAACTTAAAAAATATAACAGAGAAAATTTTGAAATCAAATTGTATACATTTTTATAAGTCATAAAGTTTTATGGACAAACTTTGTTAATGGAAGTTATTTTTAAATTCCCAAGAAATTTCATTTTCAATTATTAATGTTTCGTTTATCATGCCAATATAAGATGTAAGATTTCTAGTAAAAATTGTATTAATTTTTATAAAAATGTCAAAGCAATACGTTTTTATGATAAAAATCATTAAAATTTAGTATAATCCTAGGAAATTCAATTAACGTCACAAATACAATGGAAACCTCCTTACTTTAACCATAATAAATTACAAGGTAATGCCACTCCTAAGATAGTCATTTTCTATACTATTCCTAGAGTCAATACAATTTATGGAAAGATAATGGATAAAATGTAATTATTATTTTCTGTAATTGTTTAGAATATTTTCCGGATATTTCCATGATTCAATACGTTTTTATAAAAAAAAAAGTACTTTTTTCCGCTGTTTCGAATTTTAATTTCTATAACATGACACGTTTTCTTTCCTTCCTTATTTTGCATCAATTTCGACCTGTGCTTTTATTTTCTTACTTCCGATAAACGCATTGCATGTTTACTTTACTTAGAATCAAAATTTTTAAATTAAAAAAAAAACAAATTTTAACATTTTTCTCAAACATTTAAAATCAAATTGTATTCATTTTTATAAGTCATAAAATTTTGTAGACAAACTTTGCTAATGGAAGTTATTTTTAAATTCCCAAGAAATTTCATTTTCAATTATTAATGTTTCGTTTATCATGCCAATATAAGATGCAAGAGTTCTAATGAAAATTGTATTAATTTTTATAAAAATGTCAAAACAATACGTTTTTATGATAAAAATCACATAAATATCAAAACTGACTTGGTTAAAAATTGAAGCTAAAATTTAAAAAAATTGAAGAAAATATCGTTTGTTTATTATCTAAATGTCAAAGTTATCAATTGATGTCTATCTTTTATTGTAGATATCCAAGGAAGCGTAAAGCACGCAAACAGAGGAAACCGATATTTTTGTTTTTAATAAGGACGAAATCAATGAGGAACATGCGGGAAAGTCCCTGCGATAAGCAAACAACGTTAAAAAAAATATAGAATGTAGGATCAGACAACATATTTGTTCGAATTATCGGGTTACAGACTGCACTAATCAACGTTGTTTTTCGGTGATGCGTGTATGTACACAGCGCTCACACGAGCAACCGAATCCATAGATATTCGTAATCAATCTATCCACGATTCTAGAACCGTCGAGGAACAAACAATAGTTTCATGTACACGTCGGATATACGGGTCCCCGGAATCGCGTGAGTCACCGCGACAATCCGTGACTCAAAAAAAAAATTGTCGAGTTATTAAAGAAGATACACGTTGTCCCACACAGGATGAAATTTTATTTCATCTCTCTTTCCTTCAAACCATTCTATTCCTTTCTTCTTGGGAAAGGAAATCTTCTTCGCCGAATGCGACATCTATTTCGAAAAGCGCGTGAACGAACCTTGTGAAAGGATCTCTCCGGCTCCAACGTTTATATTAGGAGCCGATTTTTCTTGGCGCGCAGGCAGACAGTCTTTGACCTTTACTTTTATATGCGCGTACGCTATATTTGCAGCGACTTCCACCAACCATCATCCCATACCGACGGAAAATAAGAAATCAACACGAAAAACATAGTGATGAAGATTCGCTACGCACCACGATGACCTTTAATTTGTAGGTCATGGATCATCGGCGCAAAGGTAAACACTGGATACACGCGAAAACAACAAAACGTCCTTTGATTTCGGAAGGAAAAACAACATGGATTTTCGATAACCGCGCAGATAACTTTATTTTCCTCTCGTTATGTTGTTTTCGATGTTAGAATCGAGAAAAATACTACATTTTCACGTATCTCATTTCGTCTATTTTTTTTTATTTTTGGCCTGGCCGACGCACGTTTATTATCTAGGCACACATTTTCCCGGACCTAGGATAATTATAGAGTGGTAAAAATCTCTCTTTTTCAACCTCTAAAACCCAAAAACAAGTTAACCCAACTCTCTAGTATAACAAGAAACATTCTATTCCCAAGGAAAGCCACAATGAAAGTATCTATATAGTATTTTCCTTTCAGGAATCGTCCGAGCTTGTGCACTGAATCCATTTATAAACGCCAACAGCATTATTTATATTTAGCGCACAGAAAATTTCCCGAGAGATTTTCCGCTGTAGTTATATAAAAAAAAATACATAGTACATTCTAGAATTAGAATTAGCGTAACGAATTTTTCTATGAATCAAAATCCTTATTTCTACGTGTAAATATGAATTAATTCCTCGTCAATAATAACAAGCAAATGGAAGAGAAAAGTGAAACGGAAAATAATTACCTTTCGTACACGCTTCCACTTTGGAACCTGCAAATAGCAACAACAATTATCCTGGTGGAAATTACTATGATCTTAAAGATAAACATTAAAAAGTGATTACAAATCTAAATCATTAAAATTTAAGATTATTATAATCCTGAGAAATTCAATTAACGTCACAAATACAATGGAAACCCCCATACTTCAACCATAATAAATTACAAGGACTCCTAAGATAGTCATTTTCTATACTATTCCAAATGTAATAATTATTTTCTGTAATTGTTTAGAATATTTTCTGGACATTTTCATGATTCTATACGTTTTTATAAAAAAGGTACTTTTTTTCACTAGAAACCATGCTTCATGGTTAATAAGATTTATAATTTTTTGAAAAGACTATTGAAACTTCTTTGTTGAATGTACAATGCGAGGATTCCAGTAAACCGATTGAAAATAAGAATTGTATAAGTTTTGGAAGTTTCTCTAGAATTTTCATATTGTACATAAAGTTTGTGCGAAAGAACGAGAAAGGTGACCTTTCTGGGCATATTTTTCAGCAGTAAATACTTAGAAAGTAAATTTAGTGCGTGATAGGAGCTAATGCAACGGTATGCAGGTAGGTAGTCGAGTTATATAAGGTGGAGAGCGTTTCGAACGCGGAGCGATCAACATGCGTCGATAAACCTAACTGTACTTCAGCGACGACGTCAACAACAAAAACAAAGCGCGCACGGAATGAATCAAAGTAAATAAATAACGAAAAAAAAAACAAGCAGAATCAATCAAAAAAAGCGTACAGATGAAGCAGATTCTTGCAGGTAACAACAACAAAAAAAGAAGGTAGCTGTTCCTGGACCGACGTTTCGCATCTACGTAGAATGCGGTAGATAACCGATAGATAGATAACAAGGCCATAGCATGTAATGACAATTTATTTCAGTCCACGAGCGAAGGTTGGGCTTGCTATGAAACGCAACGCGGAACAACGACAACAACAACAAAGCAATTCCAAAAAAAGAAAACGTAAAGAACGACGGAAACGGCAATAACAACAACAGCAGCAGCAGCAACAACAGAGCATTCCGAAAATACTTATAGTAAAAATTACTGGGAAGGTTAACCGAATGTTCGAAGAAACGCAATCGCAATTCTGTGGCCGAAACAAGATGGTGGAGGCGTGTTGCTGTTCGCATGTTTCACGGTGTTTGTTTTTCTGTTATTTGTATTATTTTTATTGGCCGTTTTATTATTCGACGGATTAGAAACGAGACAACGAAAGAAATAACGAAACACAAACGCCGTAAATCATCGCTCACGTGACAAATACACGAGGTTGAGAGCTTATTTATACGGTCAACATTCTTTCTTTTTTGCATAAGCAATTTATCAAGTCTTAAGTAAGTAACGGAACGCTTTGGAGCTTTGCTAAACGGATAGAAGACACCGATTGTAAATCATTATTTTCCGAAAGTCTGAAAGAGTTTCTTCAGGTTAACAACTATAAAAGTTAACCTCTCTTTTGAAAAAATAACTGACTTAAGTTGTTAACATCTGGTAGAACTGATGAATTTTTCATAGTTTAGCCTCCAGCTGTTGCAAGTTTAGTTGCAGCAAGAATATAGTAAACGTGTATATATATTGAAAAAGTGAAATTACTTTAAAATATTCTACCAAAAGTCTATATTGTATAGATCAGCTGTTCTCAAATGACAGCTGTCACCTTACTTCAAAATGTCAAAAATATGTTATAGTCAATTGGGTATAAAATGTGTTTCGATAGTTCTATTATATAATTCTCGTATATGCGAAATGATATATTAATTAGCTAATAAGTGGAACGTAGATGATGAGCAATTACTTAATCACTAGAGAATGCAATATAATTCTAGGTATTAAAACTTGTCATAACAGAAGCTATCATAAAATAGACATGACTTTCAAAAAAAAACTGAATACGAAATAGTGACATTTCTTTTATGACACAATTTCCTATTGTTTCACTAAATTCTAAATAGATAAAGCGTTAAAAAGTTGTTACATATTGATGAGAATGAATAAATTTCTGTTAACATTTTCAAAATGTAAATATTGTGACAAATTACGTTTAAAAATAAATAATGACTACGTTTGCAAACGTTACCTCACCCACTAATCGCAACAGTTAATTAGAAGTCGTCTGCTTGTTTTTCAAACGTTTAACTATCACATTGTTTACATAAACTAGTATCGCTGCAGCGAAATAGAATATAACCAAGAGCGAAAACAAATTTAAAAACACTCTGTTTTTCCCAATCAAAATTTTGAAATCGATTTTCCAAAACTGAAACAACAAACAAACAGAAAGAAAGAAAACCGAACACAATAAAAAACGAAAATAACACAAGCAAACAGCGCACACGCAATTCGATTGAGAAAATAAACAGCGAAACGTGCAACGCGCGTTCTGCAATTGCGAAATGCACATTTAATTGTACATACAGGAAAATTGGATGCAACACAATCAAGAATCGCGCGCGCAATTGTAAAATAAACCTCTTCTTTATTTTTTCTTGTTTATTCGGATTCTGCGTTTTCCTGAACTGCGATTAAAAAAAAACATTCATTGTAAACATAGGATGCAAATGTTTCGAGGTAACAAAAAAAATTTGTAATTTGGATGTATTTCAATTTAAATCAATATTTATGTATTTAAACAATGTTTGCAGTGGTTTTCAAGAAAAAGACGCAACCTTTAAAACCACATAGTTAATGCAAATTAGAGCCAACGTGCATTTTCGACTCACGCCGCTCTTTACCTGGAATAGGAAGGATTAGAGTTTACGTAAGCATATTGTAATAACCGCGCTAATTGCAGCGTTCATTTGAATATAATATGCAGCAATAATTAGAGGCTTGGCCGCGCTCATTCTGAATAAATGACAAGCAGCAAACCGTTTTTCAGTTTAGTCAGATGATTAAAATTTCAGTAATTATTTGAAAGATAATCAGTTTATGTTAATGGAGAAAAACAATGCAATTTGCTGAATACTAAATAACAGATTTAAATTGCACGTATATATATATAGTATTATTGTTACCAGTAAACAATAAGTTAATATTACACGGAATTGCGCGGATGCAACTATCAATTGAACGGCAATAGTAAATCATCCAATTTGCAGCACTTTACGCTTGCTGAGTGCACATTTGATTCATTGCAAACTGTTTGCGCAAATGATGTCACAGTGTACACCGTGTTTATTTATAAACTTTTTCTTTTATTGAAGAGACCATTCTAGATATTTCCAACGACTTCATTAGCAGTAACGTTAAAAAAAAATAAGTGATAAATTAAAAGTAACGAAAACAAATGTAGAAAGATACAGAGAGAGAAAAAGAGAAACGTAGAGAGAAGTGCATTTCCATTACCGGTGATTTTATTTTTAAATCGACTGTGCGAAGGTTATTAACATCGACTTGCTTTAACGACATTCCAATCGATGTCAATTGTTACATTAATCCAAAACATTGCTCTGTTCAATCTACCTTTATCTACTTGTTGGCTTTTATCTATAATAAGTGAAACTATTAATTAAGTTATTAGAGTCATCAATTATTTACTATAATCAACTATTTTAGAGACAAAACAAATCAGTGTTATTATTTCTAGAAGCAAGCAATAACTCATCATTAAAATTGTTAAGATAACTTTGTACAAATTCTACAAATATCATTAAAATAATATTATTAAGTATTTCTGATATTTTGTCAACACAAATTTAAATTTATACTAATTTCTGAATCGTTAATTTTCTAAACTTAACTCAGTTATTACTACATAGTAATAAACTATTTAACTGTATGTGCATTAGTTATAAGGCTTTTTTCAACTGGAACTTTTAGCGAAATTATTCAATAGTTTTAACACTTTCCATTGTTTTGCACATAGTGAATCAATGACTACGCAACAAACAAAGTACAATTGTTTTTAGACGATTGTTCCATTTCATTACAATTGAACACAATTTATTCCCAAGTTTAACATATTAGGTTATCTTGTAGACCAAAATGTTGGCTCCAATTAACATTAAGTTTATTTATCTGTCAATGATTGTGCATTTTGACACACAATAATTATGTAGTAGTATTGTAGTATTAACTATTAGTATTTGTACTTGATGAGTTGGTAACGAAATGGCTGTTATTGTGGATTTCGAAAATAATAACTGATGATTACGAGCGTAATCTCCTCATCGAGACTTTGGTGACCCAATAAGATGAGCGTATGGTGGAAGGAATTTTCGAAAGAGCAGCATTATCGAAGCTCATCGTGATTATAATAACCTGGTACTAAGGTAATTGCTCCGCTTAACTGTTATACCTTCGAGAGTACAAAGTTCTTTGTTTTGTCTTTTTTCTTATTTTTTTTTTAAGCCAAAGCAGCTGTAGTGTAAAAAGTCTATATAAGGAAGACTTGCGTACTTCGGTTTTCTTCCTCCATTCTTCCGATCGGGACCTTGACGACCCAATGACCATCGCGGCGCTGTGCGATGCAAGGAAACGAGGTTAAAACTATTAAAATATCGAGCGTCCGCTTAATTTCCATCTCTAGCCTAACAGTGTCTCGGGCAAACAAACACATAGATATATAAGTGTGTATATATATATACACACACTCATACGTTGATAATAGTCGCAACGTGTAAACGCGTAGCATAAACCAGCAGCGAGTCCTCATTGTTGTGTTATGCATAATGCAAAGGAGAAAGGGGTCGAGGATCGATAGAAGAGGGTTAGTTTGGCTCCGCTGCCGACGGTTACATCCCCTTTAAGAGGAGAGAGAGAGAGAAAACCCTCCGCGGCAGAACATACCCTACCTCCACCACCACCACCCTTGGACAGATAGACAGACGGACCCAGCCAAGGCTGCCAGACTGGTTGCAAAAGAGAGGAAAGGAGCGAAGTGGAGTGGCGAGGAAAGGACAGGAGAGAAAGAGAGAGGGTTTGTGGGGGCTCCGCAAAGCAAACCGGCTACATCAACGCAGCCCTATCGATCTGCACGATGCGTTACCAAACACACCCCCGCATACCGAGAACGCACACAACCGAATCAAGAAAAAAATTGATGAAAAAAAAAATGGATCATCAAAAGAAAACAAATAAATAACTGAATTGTAGAAAATGATTTTTTTCCTTCTCACTCACCCTTTTTTTTTCCTAATACAAAACAACCCTTCAGAATAGACGCGCCTGAACAAACACCGTCATTTCTTCAATCACTTTTCTAGATTTTTACTATTTGTTAATCAATTTAATTCCATTAGTATTAGGAGAATGTTTA